CTCCCCTCCACTCTCACAGCCCCTCCCCTCCACTCTCACAGCCCCTCCCCTCCACTCTCACAGCCCCTCCCCTCCACTCTCACAGCCCCTCCCCTCCACTCTCACAGCCCCTCCCCTCCACTCTCTAAGCCCTTCCCCTCTACTCTCACAGCCCCTCCCCTCCACTCACAGCCCCATCCCTCCACTCCCACTATCACAGCTCCTCTCCTCCACTCTCACAGCCCCTCCACTCCACTCCCACAGCCCCTCCCCTCCACTCCCACTATCACAGCTCCTCTTCTCCATTCTCACAGCTCCTCCCCTCCACACTCACAGCCCGTCCCCTCCACTGTCACAGCCCCTCTACCCATCTCTCTCCGTTCCCATGAGGCTTCATGACAATCTTCAATCTTCGACGTGAGGTACTAGTGGGTAAAGGTTTGGAAAGTACTGCATAAAACTGCTGCCCACTCAACCTCTCTTTCCAGTCCTTACATTCACTGATCTTGTTAATGGTCATAAAAAGAGAAAAAGCTGAACGTACTCAGCAGGTCTCGTAGCAGCTGTAGAGTTAATGTTTCTGTTCAATGATCTTTTATCAGAACAATTAATGGCTTCCTCCTCGGGTACTGTCTCCCGCTCCTTCGAATCTGCTGTCATCATTGCTTTCCTCAAAATTGCACCTTTGATCCCCTTGTCCTTGCAAGTTGCCGTCCAACCTCCCTTCTCTCTCCAAGGTCCTTGAATGTGCTGTCATCTCTCACATCGAAGCACAAATTCCCTGTAATTCCTTATTTGAATGCTTCCAGTCAAGTTTCAGCCCCCATCACAATACCAAACTGCTTTTGTTAACATTGCAAAAGACATCCTATGTGACTGGGACAGTGGTAAGCTATTCATTCTCATCCTTCTAGGTCTATATGCCCTACATGACCATGTCATCCTTCCCTATTGTCCAGGTTCATATCTATATCTATACCCATATCTATGTAGTCTTTGCCAGAAGAGCTCCCCTGCAGTGGTTTCATTCCTGCCCCTTTAACTCTAGGGTCCATCCCTGGCTTCCTCTTCTTTCTCACCTACAAGTTGCCTCATAACAGCATCACCTGAAAACCCAACATTTTGTTCACTGATGACATTCAGCTGTACATCACCATCACCTTCTTCGATCCCCCATCTGTCTCCACCAAACTGCTTCTCTGACATTCAATATCCAATGAACAGAAATTTCCTCTAGCTAAATATTGGAGCTTCCATCTTCATCGCAAACTCTTTTCTCTAGGTATCAACTGTATCTCTCTCACTGACAGCCCTCTGAGGCTAAAGCAAACAATTCACAATCTTGGTGTTGTATTTGACTGCAAGGTGGGCTTCCAAACACATATTCATCTTGCACTTTCAAAACATTGCCCAACACCACTCCTGCCTTGACTCATTTACTGCTGAATGTTTCATCCATGTCTTTATTATCTGTAGACTGGAGTATTCTAAAGCTCTCCTGGTTGACCTCCCATTTTCTCCCCGACATAAGTTTGAGCTTATCCATTAGTCTTTTACCCACATGCTGACACGTACCAAGTACTGTTAATCACCATGACTGGCTTTGGTTCCAGGTCTGGAAAGTTTTTGATTTTATATGTGTAGTGGCAATATCCCTAGACTAGTAATTATGAACCTCAGATGAATGTTTTAGGGGCCCTCTTGTGGGACAGTGGTAGTGGCCCTACTCCTGGACCCAGAGGCCTGGGTTCAAGTCCCAACTGCTCCAGAGGTGTGTAATAACATCTCTGAATAGGTCAATTGGAAAAATAGGTTAAATAATCATAGAATCCCTACAGTGTGGAAGCAGGCCATTTGGCCTATTGAGTCCACACTGATCTTCTGAACAGCATCCCACCCTGACACACCCTACTACCCTATCCCCGTAACACTGCATTTCCCATGGTTAACCCACCTAGCCTGTGCATACCTGAACACTGTGGGCAATTTAGCATGGCCAATCCACCTAACTTGCACACCTTTGGACTGTGGGAGGAAACTGGAGCACCCAGAGGAAACCTACGCAGACACGGGGACAATGTGCAAATTCCACACAGATGGTTGCCTGAGGGTGGAATCGAACCTGGATCCCCGGTGCTGTGAGGCAGCAGTGCTAATCACTGAGTCACCATGACGCCCCCAAATAAAAAAATCACATCCTTAATTTCAAATCCCTGCATGGTTTCACCCATTCCCTTTCTCTTTTATCTCCTTCAACTCCACTACCCTCTGATACTTCTGTAATTCTCTAATTCTCAGCTCTTAAAAATTTCCAGTTGTAATTACCCATAACTGCGATAGGGTTAGGGTTAATGCTAGGCTTAAGCTCTGCAACTTCCTCCTTAAAGCTCCCAGCTAATCAAGTTTCTTTCCACTTTCTTTCAAACCTACCTCTTTACCCTTATGAAAGGCAAAATCTGCTCAGTGGCAGGCTTCTTCCTTTACTTTCTAATCAACCCATTCAAAGATGTTATTACACACATTTGGAGCAGGTGGAACTTGAACCCTGGCCTCCTGGCTCAGAGGTAGGACATTACTACTGTGATAGTTTCTAACTGATCTGTTCACAAATGTTAATACACATCTCTTGAGCAGGTGAGACTTGAACCTGGATCTCCTGGCTGAGAGGTAGGGGCACCACCACTGTGCCACAACAGCCCTCAGTGGCAGGTTTTATTTATTTTTCTTTTATGAAATAATACATTTACATTTAATTTTAATCCTATCTGCATCGTATGGATTTTATCCCAGTGAGTGTTTGTCATCCAGCCTCTTGGCATTCACATGAAACTGGTATTTCTTTGCAACTGGTAGAAGTAACAAGAGAGAGTTATTAACAAAGCGTGGTGGTGGAGGATTGCTTTTCAGACTGGAGGCCTGTGACCAGTAGTGTGCCACAAGGATCCGTGCTGGGTCCACCACTTTTCATCACTTAGATAAATGACTTGGATGTGAACATATGAGGTACGGTTAATAAGTTTGCAGATGACACCAAAATTGGAGGTGTGCTGGACAGCGAAGATGGTTACCTCGGAGCACAATGGGATCTTGATCAGATGGGCCCATGGGCTGACAAGTGTCAGATGGAGTTTAATTTAGATAAATGTAGGTTGCTGCATTTTGGAAAGGCAAATCAGGGCAGGACTTATACACTTAATGGTAAGGTCCTGGGGAGTGTTGCTGAACAAAGAGACTTTGGAGTGCAGGTTCATAGTTCCTTGAAAGTGGAGTCGCAGGTAGACAGGATAGTGAAGAAGGTGTTTGTTATGCTTTCCTTTATTGGTCAGTGGATTGAGTATAGGTGGGAGGTCATGTTGTGGCTGTACAGCACATTGGTTAGGCCACTTTTGAAATACTGTGTGCAATTCTGGTCTCCCTACTATTGGAAGGATGTTGTGAAATGTGAAAGAGTTCAGAAAAGATTGACAAGGATATTGAATAAGTTGGGGCTATTTTCTCTGGACCATCGGAGGCTGAGGGGTGACCTCATAGAGGTTTCTAAAATCATGAGGGGCATGGATAGGGTAAGTAGACAAGGTCTTTTCCCCGGGGTTGGGGAGTCCAAAACTAGGGGACATAGGTTTAAGCTGAGAGGGGTAAGATTTAAAAGAGAGCTAAGGGGCAACATTTTCACGCAGAAGGTGGTGCATGTTCCTCTGCCAGACGAAGTGGTGGAGGCTGGTAAAATTACAACTTTTAAAAGGCATCTGGAAGGGTATGTGAATAGGAAGGATTCAGAGGGATATGGGCCAAATGCTGGCAAATGGGACTAGATTTATCTAGGATATCTGGATGACATGGATGAGTTGGACCAAAGGGTCTGTTCCCATGCTGTACATCTCTATGATTCTACGACTGTAATTGTATAGTAAATGGTAAACAATGCCATAAGTAACTATAAGTAGGAAATGGTCTGTGCCTCTTCAGCTATTTTCTCAACAACTTGTTCAGAGATGTTATTACATACCACTGGAACAGGTGGGACTGAACCCAAGCCTCCTGACTCAGAGGTAGAGATGCTATAACTGTGCCACAAGAGTGCCCCCAGTGGCAGATTCTATTTGATAGAATGTGAAACATCTCAGAGCCTTTTACTACGCTAAAGGCACTATATCAATGCAAGTTGTTGTAGACTCAATTGTATACATGGAATTAAGAGTAGCCTGCAAAGATCCTTTTGTTTTGTGGTGGCAGTCCTACTGATACACATTTTTCTTAACTCTCAGTGGAATAGGAAGTGATTGTATTGAACAATCATCAATTACCATTTCTTTTCTGTTGCAGGTACTTAGGAATAACCAGACCATTGACATATCCGGTCAGGCAGAATGGGAAAGGCATGGCTAAAATGATCCTGTGTGTGTGGCTTCTGGCAGCATCCATCACACTGCCACCTCTGTTTGGCTGGGCCAAGAATATCAATGATGGCAAGGTCTGCCTGATCAGCCAAGACTTTGGCTATACCATTTACTCTACAGCAGTGGCATTCTATATCCCAATGTCAGTCATGCTGCTCATGTACCATCAGATTTTCAAGACTGCCAAGAAGAGCGCTGCTAAACATACATTTGCAGGATTCCCTCGGCCAGGTGACAAACGCATGAGTGAGGCTGCAAAAATAGGAGGGAAACCACGCAAAGAATCCGAGGAATGTGCCCACTTTGCTCGACTTCTGAAAAACGACAGGAAGAACATGTCAATCTTCAAAAGGGAGCAGAAAGCTGCAACGACCCTAGGCATTGTGGTCGGGGCATTCACTGTGTGCTGGCTGCCGTTTTTCATACTGTCCACTGCAAGGCCTTTCATCTGTGGCACCGAGTGCAGCTGTATACCCCTTTGGTTGGAGAGAACGATCATGTGGTTCGGCTACACAAATTCTCTGCTGAACCCATTCATTTATGCATTATTCAACAGAGACTTGCGGACCACCTATCACAATCTGTTGAGGTGCAGGTACAGGAATATCAATCGTAAACTTTCTGCTGCGGGCATGCATGAAGCTCTAAAGCTGGCAGAGAGGCCAGAACTGATACTGTAAGAAGGACAAGGTACTTTGAAACAGAAATACCTCAGGGAGAGAAAAATTCTCTTAAAGTCTGTGAACTGTTGTTGCTGGGTCTTGGCTCTTTAGAAACTGCTTCATTCATCAGGTGTCTTTCATGCAGCAAATTGACTCCCTGAGATGGGCTGGTTCTAAAGATACCATAAAGTGGGAGTACAATAGTAGCTCAGCCTTTTTAGTGGGCATCATGTAATGAAGTACTCAGTTTCCCACTGGACTCTTCATTAGCCCAATCAACCTGGGATCTTAGGAGATCATTAGGCCCAAGATGCAATGGTGAAGTACCAATGGGTGGGATAAGTTCTGCTACTATTCAACATAGAATGGCCTAACCAGTGTTTTACTGCATAATGCTCCCCCTGAGAGCATGCACCCACTTCTCCCTATGGATGAGTGTCTGCACCCCCTCCCTTCTATTTGTCACCTATTGCAACCAGGTATGGTCTGCAGACCAGTTGTCATGCTTTATTTTCTTCTCAATCAGCGAGCATTTCCAAACACCAAAACAAAATGGTTTGTGCCTCTGATCTCTCCCATTGCTGTCCCACCCAAAGAAGACAGTCCCTTCAAAATCAATGTCGCCATGAGATGAGTAAGCCATCAAAATTGGCCCCACCTTTTCAGGACTGTTATTTCTGTTTCACAGATCCCTTACTTTTCTGCCAGTTGTCTTCCCCTCCCCCCCAACATATTTCGGAGAATAGCCTGTGTCGAGCATTGCAACTTCCCAACTTCTGGAGTCATTATTAACAACTTTGATTGTATATTAGAAGGGGTAATGATTAAAAGAAGAACCAGCATTTATGTAGTGCCTGTCACAACCTCAGGACTTCCCAATGTGCTTTATAGCAAATTAAGTACTTTTTAAAAGCGTATCCATTGTTAAATTGATGAAATTGCAGCAGCTAATTTATACACAGCAAATTCCCATCATAATAATGACTGGAGAATGTGTTTTAGGTGCTGGTTGAGGAGTAAATATCTAACAAGGAAGGAATCCTCTGAGCTTCTTCATAATGGAGACATGGATCTTTTATGTTTACCTGGGAAGGCAGATGGGCTGTTAGTTTTACATTTCATTTGAAAAGTGGAATTCACCAACAGTGCAGCACACCCTCAATAAAACCATGAGATTGTTAGAACCAGGAGCATGAGTAGGCCAGTTGGTCGAACAAGCCTGCTCCCTCATTCAATAAAATCATAGCAGATTGTAAGTAACTTTACCTTCCTACCTGTACCTCCATCCCATAATCCCTGATTCACTTAAAGAACAAAGATGTAACTCAGCATTGACTCAACTCAATCAATGACCTAACGAGAATTTCAAAAGGTTAACTGTCGCCTATGTGAAGGTATTCCTCCTCATCTTCATCTTAAATGCAAACTCTTTGTTTGTAAACTGTCTCTCCAATTCTAGATTCCCCATGACAGTAGACAACTCAGCATTTACTGGGTCAGAATCCCACCCCCTACACCCTCTCCCAACCAAGATCTTAAGTGTTTAAATTGGATCACCCTTCATTATTCTAAACTTCAAAAAATGTGGGCTCAATTTTTCCTTATAAAACAGCATCTTTAACCCAAGAATCTTCTTAGTCAACTTCTCCAAACTACTTCCACTGGAAATATAAACTATATTTAAGCTTCTGTGCTTGAGTCTCCAGAATAGCACTTGAACACATGAATCAGGGGTGCAAGTGCTATCACTGAGCTACAGCTGACAAGTATAACATTCATTCCCTTTATATGTTTCGAACATATTCAGTTGGTTCTTTTTTCAGTATCTGGATGCTTGAATGAAAATGCAGGATAAAACATGAGCCAACGTTAACTTGGAAGCATTCTCCAGCACTTCGTCCAAACTGTGAAAAATGGGGAGAAGCCAATGAAACATCTCGCCATGAGGTTAAGCAATGATGGCATAGTGGTAGTGTTACTGGTTTAGTAATCCAGAAAGCCTGGTAATGTTTAGTTGGGTCTTGTGATGCATTGGTAATGTCCCTAACTGTGGACCAGATGGCCTGGCTTCACGACCCAACTGCCCCAGAGGTATGTCAAAACATGCCTGAACAGGTTGGTTGATGTAGTGTTTTAGAAGGGGCTCTGGTGACACAGTGATATTGTCCCTACCTTGGGTTAGAAGGCTTAAGTTCAAGTCCTGCCTGTCCCAAGTATACGTCGTAACATCTTTGTAGTGATTGGAACCAGGTGGATCTTGTTGACTACAATACCCTTGATTGGGGTTGTTAACCTGGGACAATCAGGAAGCCCTGGCTGACCAATATAAACGGGAGATTTAAAATCTCCTCAGTCCTGGGTACTGACTAAGCTGGCTGGGTACAGCCAGTATACTGTGCACAAGTAAATAAAAGGTGACTTGGTGACGGGATACTGGCCTCTGTGCAGTTATTTCATTCTCTGAACAGGCTGATTAAAACAAATACCTAAGGTATCAGGATTAAGTGGGAATGCAGAGGTGAGATAGACCGTAATCTTATTAAATGGTGGAGTAGACTTAAAGGGCAAAGGGCCTACTCCTGCTCCTGACACATACATTCATACATTCATCCTGCACTGCAGATGATCAGAGGTTAGAATGTGGGTGAAAATTGCAACAAGAATCTTAGGAACAGCATTTGAATGTCATTATTCCATCCCAGTGTTTACAATTGGGTTCTTTATTACAGAGACCCTAGAATAATTTCAGCTAAGGTGGCATCTATTATTTTCATTTATTGTATAGCCTTCATTGGAAAATTTGAAAGGCTTGTTGTGGGAAATTGTAAATAGTTTACATCAGATTGAACACCTTCTTTGTAGGCAAAGGACAATAAAGAAACATAGGGATGAGGTAGATAAATTCCTTAAAACTGTGAGGGTAGATAAATTCAACAAAAGACCAAAAACGTTCATATGCCTTTTATTTGGTTCCTCGTTCCCCAACATCGCAGTTCTTACAATTTTGTCCTTGCCTTTAATTCTATCCTTGGTGTCACTCTCAGGGATTTCTGATTATGTCTCCACAGAGAGAATCTTGTATAATTTGTACCAAGCAATTCCATTCAATGAAACAGAACTTTAACTCTTGAAGAATTTTAACTCTTGACAAATGAAGAAAAAGTCACCGAACAACCAAGAATAGGGAGATGTGAAGTAAAGCTAATTGCACAGTGGTAGTTCATACAACCACTTCAGATAAAGTGAATGGAAACCATTTAAACCTTCCTGTGTAACATCTAGCCTAATTTTGGAAACATTGTCCATTAATTTTAGAATTTCAGGAGGTATTTTGAGAAACACATATAGGAAGGATAGTACTTGGTTTAATAGGTATTGTTATTCCACTGACATGGAGAGTTGGCTTTTAGTTGGAAGGTGAGTTTCAAGCTTCCTATTCAAATTAACAACTAGAAGTGAAAAATACATTGGGGTAGAAAATTGGGTTTTTTTTCAATTGTTTACTGAGGTGAAAATCATTCAGATTCTTGGATCATTGGGATCCCTTTTCGGGTAGAAAAGACCTGTTCAAAGGGGTGGATTTCACCTGAACTGGAAAGGAATCAATATCCTCGCAGGGAGATTTGTTATTTCTATTTTGGGAGCCTGTAAACTATTGGAGAGGAAGGGTTCGGGGTTCCTAAATAGCAGTGAAAACAGAAAGACAGATGAGGATGGACCTGAATCGAGCGAGTTAATTAGAAAAGACAGACAAGAGCAAGTCAGAGAACAAAAGAACTAGAAGAATTAAACTGCATTTATTTCAATGCAAGGAGTCTTACAAGTGAGGCTGATGAACTCAGAGCATGTATCGGAACATGGGATTGGGACGTCATAGCAATTGCAGAAACATGGCTGAGGGAGGGACAGGACTGGCAGCGCAACGTTCTGGGCTTTAGATGCTGTAGGAAGGTTAGAAAGGGAGGCAAGAGAGGAGGGGGAGTGACGTTTTTGATTAAGAAAACCATTACTTATGGTAATCAGAGAGGTTATTTCTGAGGTATCATCAAGTGAAAATTATATAGGCTCTCAGATGTATGTAAGAATAATAGGGTTGTAAAAGTAGGGGATTTTAACTTTCCAAACATTGACTGGGACTGCCATAGTGTTAAATGTTTGGATGGTGAGGAATTTAAGTGTATTCAAGAAAAGTTTCTTTATCAATATATAGATGTTCCTACTAGAAAAGGAGCAAAACTTGACCTTTTCTTGGGAAATAAGGCAGGGCAAGTGACTGAAGTGTTAGCAGGGGAACATTTTGGACCTAGTGATCATAATTCTATTAGTTCTAAAATAGTTATGGAAAAGGATAAGCCTTCCATAAAAGTTAAGGTTCTTTATTGGCGTAAGGCAAATTTTAATGGCATGAAACAAGAACTTTCAAAAGTTGACTGGAATAGACTGTTCATGGCTTAAGGTTTTGACTGACAAGTGGGAGGCTTTCAAAAGTGTGACAACAGGAGTTCAGAGACTTTACGTTCCTGTTAGAGTGAAAGTTAAGGCTAGTAAGATCAGGGAACAATGGATGAATAAAGATATTGCGGTTCTAGTCAAGAATAAAAAAGAATCATGTATTAGATATAGACAACAGGGATCAAATGAATCTCTTAAAGAATATAGAGTATAAGAGCATTCTTAAGAGGGAGATTGGTAAAGCAAAGAGGGAATGTGAAATAGCCTTCGCCAATAAGTTTAAGGATAATCCGAAGAAATTCTACAAATACATCAAGAGCAAAACAGGAAAAGGAGAGAGAGTAGGGCCCCTTAAAGATGAAAGAGGTCATTTTTGTATTGAACCACAGGAGATGGGAGAGATATTAGATGAATATTTCATGTCAGTTTTTACTGTGGAGAAAGAAGTGGAGTCTAGAGAACTCAGGCAAATAAATATTAATGTTTTGAAAACCGTTCACGTTACAGAAGAGAAAGTGCTGGAGGTCTAGAAAACATAAAAGTGGATACATTTCCAGGACCTGATCAAGTATATCCCAGGACGCTGTAGGAATTTAGGAAGGAAATTGCAGGGCCCCAAGCAGAGATATTTGTAGACCTATAACCACAAATGAGGTACTGGAGGACTGGAGGGTGGCTAATGTTGTGTCTTTATTTAAGAAAAGATGAAAGCAGAAGCTTGGGAACTGTAGACCTGTGAGTCTCACATTGGTGGTGGGTAAGATGTTGGAGGTGATTTGGAAAGATAGGATTTACATGCATTTGGAAAGGCAAGAAATGATTAGGAATAGTTAGTATGGCTTTGTGCAAGGGAAATTGTGTCTCACAAACTTAATTGATTTTTTTGAGGAAGTAACCAAAAAGATTGATGAGGGCTGAGTAGTAGATGTTGTTTACATGGACTTTAGTAGAGTCCCTGATAAAGTTCAGCATGGCTGACTAATTAATAACATTAGATCACATGGAATTCAGGGTGAGCTTACTAATTGGATGCAAAATTGGCTTTACAGTGGGAGGCAGAGGGTGCTGATGGATGGTTGTT